GGATTTCAAGATGTTCCCAAACTTCCAGTGGAGGTCCAGCAGAAGGCAGGATAAGGAAATCACCTGAGGTTGGGCTGGGAGAGGTTTTGAATGGATATTAAGAAAGATTTCATCATGGAAAGGGTGGTCAGGAATTGGCACAGGCTGCCCAGGGCAGTGGTGCAGTCAAATCCCTGGAACTGCTCAATAAAATCTGTGGATTGGTCACTTTAGGATGTGGTTTAGTGGTGACTATGGCTGGACATGAGGGTCTTAAAGGCTTTTTCCAACCTTAAAAATGCCATGAGTTAAAGACTAGAATTTTTTTTTTTTTTTTTAATTTAGCCCGGGACCAGAAATTCTTCTCCAAAGGGACCTGGAGAGTGCCTGAGTCCCACAGATGAGGCAGAATGAAAAGGTTGGGAAGGGAGCAGCAGCCAAACTCTGAGTTGTTTGCTGCTGGTTTTTATTTCATCCCAAACAAACCCAGGAGTTGTAGTAAACACAGTTCTGCTGCCCTCCAGCCTCCAGAAAGCTCCAAGGTTTTACAAAATGCTCCCTAATTTCTGCCTATTTCTGGCTTCCTTTGATGTTCCAGGTGAGTGTTCCAAGCTGGATTCCCAGCTCCACTTTTCACCTGTGGAGAAATGATGACAAAAGCTCCAATTCTTGTGGTTTACCCTCATAATGTTTCTATTTTGGTTTGAGAGATGGAGGGATCCCTCCCAACCTCCTGCATCCCCATTTCCCACCCTGGCAATGTGGAATTTTAGCAGTGGGGGCAGAGCAAAGCATCCAACAAATGATCCAAAGGAAAGGCTGGGGAGTCACAAGTGGCTTTGAAAATAACCCCTGCACCGAGTCAGGATCAAAGGAATTTCTGTTTATCCTTCCAGCTGCAAAGAGCTGGCAAATATCCCTGGGGCTGCTGCTGGAAATAGCAAATGCTGTTTATGGCTGGGCCTTGTTTGTGTGTTTTATGGGTCACACTTATTTCACAGGGATCATTTTTGTTTGTTCCCCGTGCCCACAGCTTCCCCTGGGACTGAGCTGCCTCCTGGGCACGGCTCCTGCCTCTCCTGCTGGCCACCTGCAGGGCTCTGCTCCTCCATCCACGCCTGGAGCTCTCCACCTGTGCCATTCCTCAGTTCTGGCCTGGACCAGGAGGCCCTGAGGTTGTTTCTGTGCTAGAAACAGCTCAGATGGCACCAGAACTTTGTGCAATTTTGGGTGTCACAATAGAAAAAAGGTCTAAAGGTTTTAGAGAGCAGCCAAGAAGGGACATGGAGATGGGGAAGGGTTTGGAGGAGCAGCTGAGGGCACTTAGAGTGTCTGGATGGAGCAAAGAGCTCAGGGACCTGCAGCTCCTGCCAAGGGGCAGCTCCTGGGACAGGGACAGCAGCCAGGGAAGGGCTGGAGCTGGGCCAGGGCAGGGCAGGCTGGAGCTCAGGGAAAGGTTCTTCCCCCAGAGGTGCTGGCACTGCCCAGGCTGCCCAGGGAATGGGCACGGCCCCGAGGCTGCCAGAGCCCCAGGGATGCCCAGGGTGCAGCTGGTGGGGGTCTGGGCAGGGCCAGGGTTGGATCCATGATCTCTGTAGATCCTTCCAGCCGAGGATGTTCCACGATTTGATGATTCTATGAAAGAACAGCAGGATAAGATTTATCAGTTGCAAATGTGGTCATTGTGTGGGCACTTCCTTTTCTCCTAGGGGATTGACCCAAAACACCGGATGGATCAAGGTAAGGCACACAAAAGCCCCAGGAATCAGAGAATCCCAGAATCCTGGGGTAGTTTGGGCTGGAAGGGATCTTAAAGCCCATCCAGAGTCGTCACCTGGCATGGGTAGGGTCACGTTCCACTCTCCCAGGTTGCTCCAAGCCCATCCAAAATCGCTGTAAAATACTTCCATTGGCAGGAAGGTTCCACAAAATCCCCTTTTCCACTGGAGCTTTTGTTGGGTGGAATAAGCCACAGGCAGCCAGGGAATTTAATTTGGTCATCCCTGGAGATGACCAAACTCTAGATGTTGTTGGCTCAGTCAAGACCATCTAATTTATCTGTGCTGCCAGTGCTGAGATCCTCAGCTCAATCTTCCCCTCCACCAGAGAACTGCTGCTCATTTCTCCTCTGCCATGACCAAAATCCAACTTGGTGCAGTGCTGAGATCTTTGCATGAGCTGGGTCTCAGCCTGGGCTGGGGACACATCCATAAATCAGTTTGGAGAAACCAAAGCAGAATAACAGGGGTATTTAAAAGTGTCGTTTCTCAGTCTCAAGCCCAGCCCTGGTGGGGCTTGGGAGCAGCCTGGGCCAGGCTGGGCTCAGTTTGTGTTGGCTGAGCCCTGTGGCATTTCAGAAACCCAAGCCCATGTCCTGTCTCGAGCTCAGCCCTGGCCTGGCTGGGAACTCACAATAAATCCATGCATTTCATCAGGTTTGGGGGCTTGGAGGCTCTCACAGGAGCAGGAATGCTGGAAGGCTGAGCTCTGGAGAGAAAGCTCGGCCCTGGGCAGGAGATGGGCTGGCTTTGTTAGAGCCAGGCTCAGTGAGACCAGGTGTGCACCCACACTGAAACTACCCCCAGCTCTGCCAGACACGTCCTGACCGTATTTTAGCTACTGCAGCTCTATTATCAAAGCCAGTTAAAGCAAGAGGCCCACGGGCTGATTCACCCTGATGCAGCCACTCACCAGCCAGGAGCATTCCCCATTATGAACAGGAATTTAATTAGAGGGAGGATCTGAACCACTGAAAGAGGTGGAGGAGAGGTTTTAACAGGATTTATTAGGGTCACATTGAGGAGCCCTCCTCTGGTTTGGAAACCAAGAGAATTGTCAGCATTTCACGTTTGGGCAGCCCCAGTTAATGGGGTTTTGGCGGGAGGAGCCTGGTTGGATGTCCCAGAGCTGTCCCACACCATCCCAGGCTCTGATTATCGCTGGCTGGGGGTCTGTGTACAAATCCCAAATGGGATGGGACTGCTGTGGAATGCATCTCGAGCTGTTTATTTTTTAGCATCAGTCTCATTACAGGGTTATGACAATGGGAAGATGCCAGCAGCTCACATCCCAGGCAACAGACCAAGAACTTAATGTTGCAACTTACTTTAAAAGCTTTTTGATCAATCACACAGAGCAAAAGCATATTGACAGCAGTTTTATCCAACCACTGTAACACACGTAGCTTTGGTTAAAACAATGCTTGCTTATTTTGAATACAATACCTGCTTGTAAACCTTAAGGTACAATGCACAGAGCACCGTTATTAAGCTTAAAAATTCCTAATATCTTGCTAGATATACTGTTCTGCAACTTAGGGAGTTATTCTGCCCAAGCGTTAATATACAGACCATTGTCCTATTTGTCCTTTCTTTCTACTTCTTGTATAATTTTTCTGCTGACAAATGCTATGGCTCCTGCTTAGCTCGATTCGTGATCCTGCTGTCTCTGAGGCCTGCCTTTTGCAACGTGTCCAAAACCCTCTGATTTTAAGGAATCCTACAATTCCCCCTCTCAGTTCAACTAAAAAGAAACTTTCATAACTTTGTTGTTTATTAACTACTTTGTATTTCATAGCTTTTCTATAATATATCTGCTTATTACTTGTTTAAAGCATAATTTTTGCTTGTATTAAGCATAGTTATATTACAATACAGCAATTTTAATGTTGTGAAGGTCTAGTCAATTTAAAGCACATAAGTCATATTTCATACCAATTATAAGTCATTGTTTAAAAAAGTCTTGTTGGTTTTAAGGTCTTAATTTAAAACCTTCTTCTATCTCTATACCTTCATCTACTATCTCAGTAAGATTTTGTGAGCTCTCTGTGAATTTATTTCTGTCTCTAAAACTCACCTTTTACAACATACCCAAAATCCTTTAATTTAAAAAATCCCACACTGATGAGGAATATTTAGGGCAGGCTGTGCTTTTCCAAAGGGAATCTTCACCCTGGCAGCCCATCCCAAGTCCCCCTCCAGGCCTGGCTTGGAGCAGCCAAGGAGGGAAATAAGAACAGCTCCAGCACCCAGCCTGGTCCTTGGCTGAGACCCAGAGATGTGTGGAGGTCTCAGTAATCAATTAATAATCCAAAGATCACATTTAATCTCTCCACAAAATAAAGCAGGAGACTGGGCTGGGCCTTGTTGCAACAATCTGGGCTCTCCTGCAAAGTTTTCTGGTTGAATTTTGAGTTGCTCTCTTGCTCTTTGGGTGCAGTTAAACAATTGGCAGACATAGGGGCAGAAAACTGATTTTCTGCTAGGAGAATTGGACTGGTTTGAGCTTTTGGGGGTGATGTCTGAGCATGTTTTAAAGCACTGGAGCCACTCAGATGTCATTTGGGGCACCCTTCCAGACTCCAGGTCTGCTGAGGAGTCTCCTGGTGCCCAGAACAAGGTGATGGAGCACAGAAAAACAGAATTATCCCCCCTTAATGGGAAAATCAGCTGGAAAATATCCAACCAACATCATCCTCTTCATCCCCATTACGGAAATGCACATCGAGTGCAGAGAGCAGGGGCAGCAGCACATTTCTTACTCATCCTCTGCAAGCATTCCACTGAAGTTTGCTGTTAAATAGTCCATCGAGGCCTGGTTTGGGGTGGTTCAGAGTGGAGCAGCCCCCAATGAGGCTGGAATGGAGACTTTATTTAAGACTGAGAAAACCCTACTTTTTTCCCACTGGGATGTTTGAAAAGAGCAGGAAATTATCCCAGAAGGGGAGCAGGTGTGTAATTCCAGGGACATCAGCAGCACCATCAGTGACATCTGCAGGGCCTGAGCTGAGCAGAGTCACTGGTGAACAGGCCACAGATCCTTGTCCCTGCTGATAAGACAGAGAGGCAGGTTTTGAGAGGAAATTGAAACAGAAATATCCGCTTTTCCTTTGCCAGCAGCACAAGCATGAGAAAGATCAGGCCAAGGTCAAAGCACCATTTTTTGCTCACTAATATTTTTTAGAAATCAAATTATTTCTTCCTTCATTAGCAATCAGTCACCCTCAGAAACCAGACTCACAGTTTGGAAGCCATTAACATTTTTATTTTAATTGAAAGTCATCTTCCAAGTGACACAAAAGCACAGAAAAATGCAAGCAGTCGGGTATGAAAAGGCAGAGCTGGATGTTCTGGGTGGCTGTCAATCATCACAAGCAGACAGGGTGAGGGCTGCAATTCCCAGGGATTTTTGGCTGCTCCCTTTGCTGTAGGAATTCTGCAGGCTGAGCTGCAGGGCTGGGTTATCCCAGAGAAAATTCCTTCCCTGTGCATCCCTGTCATAGTTTGGCATGGGATTTCCATGTCCCATGGAATATTTCCATTTTCCATTTTTGCTGGAGGGACTGATAAAGAGACTGATAAGGGACTGATAAGGAACTGAGTGAGCTGAGCTACAGCCCACAGAGAGACTTTCTGGGTTTTCATCTTTTTTTTGGAGCGGCAAGAGGTTTTATTGCTTAATATTGTTCATTTTTTGTGCTGATGCATGCTTTGCCTATTAAATAAGCATTTTTTTCCACTTTTCTCCAAGGAAATTTTTTTCTCAAACCAATTAGGGGAGGAACCACTTGAATTTGTTTTTCTAGAAGAAACCCTTGTAGAAGATTTTCTCCCAGGATTGCCCTACACCAGGACAATCCCTTAATCCCACTTCCTAAAGGTCAGACTGCTGAGCCAGAGGAGATCCACCATCCTCGTGGCACAGAGCAAAGCTGGCAGGGCTCAGGCCATCCCTGCACGCACAGCAGCCAACTCCCAGACTCCAGGGATGGCAACCAGAGCCAGGGTCAGGAATTTGGGGTGCCAGGGTCAAGAAATTGAGGTGCCAAGGTCAGGAAATGGAGGTGCCAGGTTCAGGAACTTGTGGTGCCAGAGTCAGGAAACTGAGGTGTCAGAACCAGGAAATGGAGGTGCCAGGGTCAGGAACTTGGGGTGCCAGGGTCAGGAAGTTTTAGGGGGATAAGGCTCCAGCAGTTCCCTGGCAGGATGTGGCTGGAAAAAGCTGGGAACTGCTCTGGGTGAGGACTGGGCTCTGCAGGGACAGGGGCAGCAGCAGCACCCAGTGCAGCTCTCCCCCAGGCTGGGCTCAGATGGTCACGTAGGGAGGGGGGCAGTCCTTGGAAGGCAGTTCCAGGGCTTCCTCATAGGACGGCAGCACGGCCTGCAAGAGACCAAAGGTTATGGGATCACAGGGATTTCATCCCGGAAGGCTGAGACAGAGAGTGAGAAATCGAACTTGAAGTAGAAACTAATTTTGATTTAGCTGAAGAATGCTGTTTTAACTTGTTTTGTCTATAGCTTGCTAGACTTACTTAATCTAACTTACTGTGCTCGCAGAAAACTGACAGAAAAAAACCCAAAAAATTAAAGTTACTTATAACACCCACAAGTTTCTAAATTAAAAAGAGATAAGGAGGGGCCCCACCAACCTTAAAAAGAAAACTAAAGCTAAGTTGCAGACACGGCGACGTTACGACAATGTTACTAGAGAATTGCACAGGCTCATAAAAACTGATGAGACAGTTTTAATATGAAACAGGGCTAGGAAATAAATATGCATTAACCTCTCGTGAAACTTTATGCATATGCAACAGGTTAGGGGATAAAATAGACTCAAGAATTTCAGAGGTGCACTGTCCTTTGGGGGAGCTGTCCCGCATGCCTCCAACACTGAAATAAATCAGACCAACTTCACAACTTGGACAAGTGTAGAGTTGGTTTTTTCCACAAACCAGGGTTCCAAGCAGGGACAAAGAACCGCTTGGGATTTGAGGCACAAAGGGCAGAAATCCAGCAGAGCTGGGGCCTGCAGGGTTGGATCCACCTTGTGCCAGTGCTGCTCCCATTCCCTGGACAATGAATGGCCCAAGGCTCCTGAATGTGCAGAATCCCAGCCTCGTTCCTGAGGGAAGCTGAGGAATTGTGCAGAGGGGCACAGCTTTCCCTATCCATCAGCATTCCCTATCCCTCAGCTTTCCCAGCATTCCACATCCCCTCAGCATTCCCAATCCCTCAGCATTCCCAATCCCTCAGCATTCCACATCCCTCAGCATTCCCAATCCCTCAGCATTCCCAATCCCTCAGCATTCCACATCCCTCAGCATTCCACATCCCTCAGAATTCCCCAGCCCTCAGCATTCCCCATCCCTCAGCATTCCCCATCCCTCAGCATTCCACATCCCTCAGCATTCAGTGTCCCTCCCTCTTTCCTTCCCACCCACCCTTCCAACACTGAAAATCCTGAAGTCTCTGACAGAAAAATGAAAAAAAAAAAGCTGATTTTAAACACTTTTAGCTATGGAAACCAAAGTCCCACTGGAACTAACCCCAAATTCCTGGATCAGGGATCACAGGGAATCCATTCCCATTTATCTGCCGTGCCTGATTTTCACCTTCCTTGCACATTGACTTTAAAGGTTTTATGCGGAAGTAAAATTAAATGGATATATTGTGATTAAAAGCTGATTATTACCACTTGCTACTGGGGATTTGAAGGGTTGGAAATTCTCTCAGATCCCAAAAAAAGGAGAGATAAGGATTACCAGTCTAAAGGATTCCTGTTCATGGAATAAATTAACTTTTCCTCATCTCTCCCACTGCTTGTGAGCCCATTTTCAGGAATAAATTCATTTTTACACCCCTTTTCCACTTCTTGTGGAAGTGGTAGTGCAATTCCTGGGGGATTTTTGGCTGATCCCTTTGCTGTAGGAATTCTGCTGGCGGAGCTGCAAGGCTGGGTTATCCCAGAGAAAATTCACTTTTCCACTGCCTGTGGCTCCACTTCCAGGAACAAACTCACTTTTCCTCACCTTTTCCACTGCGTGTGGCTCCACTTTCTCCTCGTCCCTCCTGCTGGCTTTGATGAACTTAAAGCAGCTCAGGACACACTTGAACATGTAGGCCTGGAAAAGAGGGAAAAGGGAAGGAAAAGGACATTTTCCTCTGTCACTGCAGGCAGAAAGGGCATTTCCCCTTTTGCCACAAGCCTGGGATTTTCCTGCTCTTTGCTCTGGATGGAGAAGTTTGGGACCATGATCCCAGGGCCTTAAATCAGTGTCTACACCTTTCCCTGGGAATGTGATGATTCCATGAATTCAGACCAGCGCTGCGGTGGGACTGGGATCAATAATTCAGTAAATATGAAGTGATTAAACACAAACCCCATTAAACACAGCACTGAGAGCTCTGAGAGAACAATAACCTGAGCAGGAAAGGAAACTGTGGCCTTGATGTCATTTTCCAGAGCAGGTCTGGATTCCATGAATCCAGAACAATGCTGGGATGGGACTTGGATCAGTAATCCAGTAAATATCAAATGATTAAACATAAAATCCATTCAAACACAACACTGAGACCTCTGAGATCAGAATATCTCAGGTAAGAAAGGAAATCATGGCCTTGATGTCATTTTTCAGAGCAGGTTACATGAATTCAGAATGGAATGGGACTGGGATCAGTAATTCAGTACATATCAAATGGTTAAATATAAAATCCATTCAAACACAACACTGAGAGCTCTGAGATCACAATATCCGCAGGTAGGAAAGGAAATCGTGGATTTGATATAATTTTTCAGAGCACGTTATAATTTCTGGGCTCCATGAATTCAAAACACTGAGGTGGGACTGGAAATCCAGTAAATATAAAATGATTAAACATAAAATAATCCTATCCCAACTCTGGGATGGGACTGGGATCAATAATCCAGGAAATATAAAATGATCAAACATAAAACCCATTGAGACCTCTGAGATCACAATATCCCGAGGTAGGAAGGGAAATCATGGCCTTGATGTCATTTTTCAGAGCAGGTTACAAAGTGTGGCTGCCTCAGGAAAGCACCAGAGGCTCCACAGAGATCCAAGGACTGCCCCAAAAATCCCTTCATTCAGCAAAATCCCATTTTTGCACTTCCCTGACAGGAACTCCTGGCACCCCATGGATTTATCCATGCAATAAATGGATATTTATCCATTTTCTGAGGAAAAAGGGTTGATTGAGGGGTTGTGGCCCAGGGAAATAAGCGGGGTCTGTGGGGCTGGCCCTGTTAAATCAATATTTTCCCTGTTCCGAGCAGCACGAGTCGTGTGCCTGGTGTTTGTGTTGGCCTGGGAAGGTGCTCGGGAGCAGTTGGGATTTTCAGGGAACACAGGGAGCCACAGATCCCAAACCTGGGCTGTGCAGCTGAGCATGCCCAGGACAATGAGGGCTGTTTGTACTGCCACTAAGCCAAGAGAAAGAGAAAAAAATGAATGAAATATCTGAGCTGAAAAAAATCAATCTCAACATTCCAGAGATTGGAGGTAAATCCAAACTTTGAGCATCTTTTGGGAATGTTGCAAAACCCTTCCTGCTTCCAAAGCCTCTTCATCCAGAGGGCAAATCTGGAGCTGTCGTAGAAACTGGGTAAAAACCTCCACTCATGCATGAAAAAAGTCCTAGAAATATAAAAAAATCTAAAAAATAAATCTAAGAAATAAAGAAAAAAACACACAGCAAAAGAATGCACTCCCTGATTTTGGTTTTGCAATAAAATCATACAAAGGATTTCATTCCCTGATTTTGGTTTTGAAATAAAATCATACAACAAAACAATGCATTCCTGAATTTTGGTTTTGAAATAAATAAAAATCACTCAACAAAGGACTGCATTTATTAATTTTGGTTTTGAAATACCTCAAAATCATACAACAAAGACATGCATTCTCCCATTTTTATTTTGAAATAAATTTAAATCGTACAAAAAGGAATGCACTTCCCGATTTTGGTTTTGAAATAAATCAAAATCACAAGGAATGTTTTATTCCCCTTAATTTCTGCTTTCTTATCCCTGTGGTACAGGCGGCCTTTATTATTCCAAATGGAAATAAAGATTATTGGAATATTTGCCCACCTGCCATCCCTGGAATGTCCAAGGCCAGGCTGGGGCCCCTGGCACAGTGGATGTGAGAAGAACCTAAAGGTGCCTCCAACCCCCTCACCCCATGGATTTAGGATCACTCACGGATGCAGAGTGGAACTGCCCTAATGGTGCAATGGCAGCATCACCCTGCCCTTGGAATATTTTTCCATGGAATTTTGAACTGATTCTGCCACCACAGGTAAAGCAGAGCCAGCCCTCTGCTGCCCTGAGCTGGGAGGCTGCAGGGAGAGAATTCCATGGGATTTTACACATGGAAGAGGAGAGGGATTGGCACTGGGATTAAAGGATGGGGGTCCTGGTGGCTTTTTGGGGTTTTATTTTCACACCCCATCCCTCCTCTTACAACCCCAACACAAAAACCCACAGCAAGTCCAGCATTTTGTGGGTAAGGCTGTGGAAAATTCCAATTAATCCATTTGCCAGGGCAGGGAGATTCCTGCCAGCTGGGGCTCGGGGTTATCTTCGCTCCAGCTGCACATTCCATGCAAATGTTAAAAGAGATTTTAAAGCCATGCCTGGAGTGCATCCATACAAACCTCTCCACTCCCCACTGGCTTATCTGGCCCACCTGGAGGGCTCAGAAGAGAAAATGGTTTCCAGCTCACGAGCAGCACTTTCTGTCCAAGTACCTGCAAGACTCTGGTTTTCTTCGTGGGGCAGAAGGTGAAAAATCAGACCTCTGAGCCACTGAAGCAATAGAGAATAAAACCCCTCTCTAGTGGAGCTTCCTGAGGCAACAGCAGGGCTTAGCTCCTCGTTTTAATGAACTTTGGGAGTATCAGGGTGGAGAACCCTGCTCCCATCAGAGAGGGCACAGCCACTCACCCAATGAAAGATCTCACCTGCTGCTCAATAATCTCATTTATTTGGGTACTTTACAGCAAAGGGCTTTGCTGTGTTTTTTTCAACCTTTTTCTCCTCCTCGACAGGAATGGACAGTGATGATTTGGGGATGTAAGAGGGATTTTGCCTGGTAACTGACACAGAAGAGTAAAGGCAAAGATTTGGATAAACTGTATGGAGGCATAGCTCCCACTGTGCCCAAGTGTTGGATTAAGCTTTTTCTGACCCACAGATGGGGTAACTGGGAGGTGTTTTAAAAACTTTTATTCCATTTTCAGTCTCATGAGAAGGGTGAGACAATACAATGTTAAAATTCACACCATCACAATCAGAAGCCAACTATTTCCTGATGACAACACATTAGAAGCGTTTCTTGGCCTATCAGCTTTAGCCACACCATGCTGTAAATGCCTTCAAGCCAATAACCTAAAATTACCCCTCATGGGTCCTACTGCACTGCATCTTTCATAGTTCTGCTTCTCCAAAGCATCTAGTTTTACTTGCAAGGCCGTCTTTTGAAACTTGTTTCTAGCTCCACTTGTCTCTCAACAAAGTCTGTTCTATGGCATTTGTAAGTCAGCATTTCTTATCTCAAAGTTTCCCACACCTGAGGAGAGCCCAGTGTCATGGGGTGCCGTTATGGTGTTTGTATTCCAAATCGTGTGATCTGTTTATGTTTGATAGTCTGTTCTGTGCTTTCAGAACTGACTCTGAAAGTGAAGGTTTGTTCTGTGTTGTTATCAGCCGGCTCACCTACCCCATGGTCTGTTGTCTAGAAGAGGCTGGTGCTGGCTGGCTTGCTTTGCTTTGCTTGCTTTGCTTGCTTGCTCTTGCTCCTGCTTTTGCCTTTGCTTGTTAGTTAGTTTAGCTAAGCAGTCCAATTCTTTCCCTGGACTGTTTTTTTCCCTTTCCCTTTCCTGAATACCATTCCATCCTGCTCCAGACGGGACCAGGGAAACACGGAGGAGCACCGAGAGCTGCGCTCTGTGATCTGCAGCAGCCATCCCCAGTGCCCAGAGCAATCCCCAGCGCCCAGACCCGGGCAGTCACTCCCAGGAGAGACTTTCTGGATTTGTTCATCTCTTCAGAGTGGTGAAAGAGTTTTTTTGTCATCTGGTGTTGTTAATTTTTTTTCTGGTGCTGAAGAGTGATTTGTTTGTTAAATAAACAGGTTCTTTTCCACTTCTCTCAGAGAAAATTTTTCCCGAACCAGGTGGGTGGGGAGGGGCCGTGGGGGTTTGTTTTCTGGGGGCTCCTTCCAGAGGTTTTTCTCCCAAATTTGCCCAAAACTAGGACGCCCAGCAAGGCAGATTTGGGAGAGAATTAAAGCTGAATTTTCCTGGAGAAGCCTCACTTCAGAGGAAGAAGTCCTTACCTTGAGGATGAGCACAGCCACGAAGGCGATGGTGAAGGTGATCATCACTTTGGCATATTCCTCTGCTGGCAGCTTCTCCAGGGCTGGCAAAGAGCCCTGGGGGGAAAGGGAGAAGGTCTCAGCCCAAAACACTCAGGTGTCAGCCCAAAACACTCATTCCCTCTGCCAGGGGCACCCACAGAGAGGGGTTCAAGGTTCAGACAGAACAAGGAATGAGGAATTTTCACTGGCAGCAGCATCACAGGGGTATTGTTTTCTTCCTGCTGCTTCCACTCCTTGGGCAAAGCGCTGTTTAAATGAACTTTTAAAAATTTAATTTCCACTTTTGCCACCAGACTGGGATTTTCCTGCTCTTTTCTCTGGAGGGAAAAACTTGGGACTGTGATCTCAGGGCCTTAAATCAGTGTCTCCATCCTTCCCTAGGAATGTGATGATTCCATCTGTTAAAAACAGCACTGAGGTAGTACTTATTAAATAAGATTGTTTAATAAAGATGAATTTTGAGGCATTTTCCATGCAAGCAGCTCCACAATTTGCATCCATCAGACTCCTACAAGGAGAAACAAGGTTTATTTTTAAGGAACACAGGAGCTGTCAGTCAGGAGCAGTGCTGGGGAGAACATGGAAAACCATCTTTGTTGTCAAACTGAGCAGCTTGGGATGCTCCAGAGAAGCTGCACAGCCATGGAATTGGAATTTATAGGAGTTCCCAGTGTGGGAAATGAGCAGAGCTGGCTCCAGACCTACCCCATTGTCCACAGGCTTGAGGCTGAGGTAGGTGGGCACCTCCATGTAGGAGCTGCACAGGGTGAGGATGCTCAGGCAGAAATCCAGCAGCTGCAGCGCCAGCAGGGGAGTCCTGGCGTGGCCCTGCTGAGGGGACAGGAACTGGGTTACAATCACAGGATTGGGTCACTTCTGCAGATTATTCACACTTTACACAGAGCCTGTAGTTGCTTCACATGGAGTCTAAGCACTAAATTCCCTTAAATTCAACCCAAACCTTCCCTTCTGCTGGCCCAAAGAGTGAGCAAACTGTTTCTGGGGCTTCATCTGAGCTCCACGGAAGCCCCTGGCCAGAGCAGTGACAATCTCAGTTTATCTCCAGCAAACCTCTCCTGTCAGGGGCACACCCAGAGCCACCTCCCTCAAAGCCAGGAGAAAATCAACATTTCAAGACAGGGGAAGATAAATATCCCAGCTGTCACTGGTTTCCTTCTGCCTCCAAGGATTGCATCCTGTCTAGCCAGGAGAAACCACCTCACATCTGGATTCAGGATCCTAAAAGTCTTTTCCAAACAAAAGGATTTCATGACAGACCACAGCCCAAGGTAATGATCCTTTACTCCAACCTTCCAGGATCCTAAAGGTGTTTTCCACCTTGAATGATTCCATGAAGAATTGCAGCCTAAGATAATGATCCTTTATTCCAAACTAAAGCATTCCATGTAGAATCACAGCCCAAGGTAACAATCCTTTATTCCAACCTTCCAGGATCCTACAAGTCTTTTTCATTCTAAAGGATTCCATGAAGAACCACAGCCCAAGGTAAAGATCCTTCATTCCACCATTCCAGGACCCTAAACGTATTTTCCAACCTAAAGGATTCCATGACAAACCACAGCCCAGGGTAAAGATCCTTCATTCCAATCTAGATGATTCCATGAAGAACCACCCCAAGGGAATGATCCTCCATTCCATGCATTCCTCATCTCAGGAAAGCCAAGAGCCCTTGGGAGGTGCAGAATCTTTGCTTCTTTTCTGCCAGGGTCAGGCTCAAATCGTGAGATGTTATTTCTCGTTTGGACTCAGATGTTTGTTAGTTCTTACCTCTGTCACAGTCTCACAAACCCTGAGTTCTGCAGCCCTTCACTCTGACACACTGAAAATGGAGCCCCATCTCTCTCTACAAGGCCTTTTAAGGAGAAACTGTCCAATTAAGAAATGACACCTAAATTATTTTTACTTTTAACCCAATAACCAACCACCCATGCCCGCAATGTGGGCTTTTTATCCAATTGCACAAAAACACCCAAACCCATGGAGAAGGAGAAGGAGAAGGAGAAGGAGAAGGAGAAGGAGAAGGAGAAGGAGAAGGAGAAGGAGAAGGAGAAGGAGAAGGAGAAGGAGAAGGAGAAGGAGAAGGAGAAGGAGAAGGAGAAGGAGAAGGAGAAGGAGAAGGAGAAGGAGAAGGAGAAGGAGAAGGAGAAGGAGAAGGAGAAGGAGAAGGAGAAGGAGAAGGAGAAGGAGAAGAAGGAGAAGGTAAAGAAAGACCACCCTCCACCCCAAAACCTCCATCTTGCTTTATATAAATATTACCACATTCTAAAACCCCGAACTCTTGAGTTTCCCACCCTGTGATATCACACACTTCTGTTCAAACTCCACCCCCACAATCCCAGTTCTGCCATTCCATTTTGGAAGCCTCTCCACGGCCTCAGGTCAGTGCAGAGTTCTCTTGGGGGTCAGTGCCTGCCAGCACAGAAAGTCTCCAATTCTCAGCGACCAGGCTTCCAACAAGGAGGAGGAGCTGTCACCCACCGTGTGGCCCAGGGAGGACACCGAGATGATCGCTGGCACCTGGATGTAGGAGCTGAACATGGTCAGGAGGCTCAGGAGGAAATCGATGACTTGCAGAGCCAGGAAGGGGATCAGGAACCGCTCCCTCTTCTGAGAAGGAAAAGCAGTGCTGGTTATTTATTATATAACCATTGTATTTTGTCATCCTGTTCTTTTAACAGTTTTAAAGTTATTTAAAAAGTTTTCTATGCCTTCTGATGTTTACATATTTCTACTGGAGTTCTCACACACTGTTCATGTAAATAATGATTGTTTTGCATTCTTCTGTGTGGGAGGAGAGAATTGATAGACTGTTGGTTTGACCAGTGTGGTTGGAGAAGTGGCAATTTCTTCTTCCAATCCACTGTCACTTTTAGAATTCTATATATTATGAAATCAGAAATAAAAGTTACTTCCTTTTACTCTTTTGATCTTAGAGAGAGTGTGTGAGTTATTTCGTGTCGTAGTGTGACAATATTTAATGGTTATTTCCATTCCAAGTGGAAAATGAGACCAGCTGGCAACACCTGGAATGGAGCACCTTAGATGGTGCTCCAAGAATTAACACTTCCCTGGAATTTCTGATTTCAGTGACCACTGATCCAGAGAAAACAGGGCATCAATGCAGACTTTTTTCACCCCTTTGGAAAATTCCTGTGAATTCTCACTCTGTGACATTAGCACTTCCCATCAGAGGTGTCATCCAGCTGTCCCTGAAATTCACCTTTGCGGAGGGAGAACTGGGTTATTTGGGTGGGGTTTAATGCTTAGAGCTCTGCCATCAGATTCCTGAGGTTTCCAGCCCCAGGCCAGGTCATTCCTCCTCCTGCAGTGGGAAATGAGTCCCAGCTGCAGCACGGCAGTGACAGTTCTCTCATGGGACCTGAGTTGCAACAGGTCAAGGAAGTGAGGCAAGAAAACCTTTCTAAATCATAAAATCTCCTTTATTTAGCAGCTTCAAATGCAGCTCTGATGGAAATTATGCCCAGATTTGGTAAATCTGGGTGTTTGAAGCTTTTCACAGGAACCTGAGGCTTCAAACCAGTCCCGCTCCCCCTCTGGGACCAGGAGACATTTTTAATTTGCCTTTTTTCCTGTGTGATTCTGTGGTTCTGTGAGTTTTATCTGCCTTTTTTCCTGTGTGATTCTGTGTTTCTGGGTGGTTTTCCTGCTTTTTTTGACCTCCATTCCAGTGAGCACCATCCAAACCCTGAGGGTCATTTGTGGGGAACGTACCTTGAGCACCCCGAGCAGGAGGTGGAAGCTGATGACAAACAACATGAGGATCAGCATGAAACTGGTGGTGATATCAGCTGAAAAGGATAAAAAAGATAAAAGGAATCACCACATCACCAAAAGATGTCCCAGCTCCATCACACCCCTAAGAGAGGGTTCAACCTGGCACAAAGAATTGTGTCTGTGCAGGAATTACTGCCATGCAGCTGGAATTAATCATCTTTCCCCTTTTTATACCCATTTTTCATCTCTCTTTGAAGTTCCTGTACCCACCAGGTGCTGTAGGTTGTGAGCTTGAGGGAACCAAGGCCTGAAATGTTAAATATCCCAGGCTACAAAATGAAGTATTAAAAAAAAACAGAGGGCTTTTGGGTCTTAGCTCTGAGCCAAATTTCATATCAAAATTTTCCTGAGCTGGAAATAATTTAGAGACTGAAAGGCAGATGAAGGAACCAGCAGTGAAATGCTGAAGGATCTTCAGAACCTCTCAGAGAAGAGCAGGAATTTTCACCCCAGGGAAGGTTGGGGGGATCTCTCCCCCCAACCCTGCAGCTGTGGGATGCAAGTGACACCTCAAAATGCCATGTGAAGGGGTTTAGGGTGATTTTTGGCAGCTGCTTTTGGTGTGAGGGTGATGTTTCATACCCACAGAGTTCCTGCTCTACCTTTGCCTGGAAGCAATTTTCCCTCCTGCAATCACAGCCTGCCCTGCTGCTGATTCACCTCTCCAGAGGCAAAAACTTCTGGTTTTGTTTTTGGTTTTTTTTTATCAGTCTTTGCACAACCTTTCCCAGAGCTCCCTCCAGCTCCTTTCCTTCTGTTTCACCTGAGTTTAAATCAGCACTGGCCAGTTTGGGTTCTTCAATCCCTAAGTGCTTTAAGAAAGGGTTTAATTCTGCTAGAAAAACACCAAACTTTTAATTTTTCTGTCTTTTTTTTTTTTTTAAGCAGCTGATTCTTCCCATAGGTGCACAGCATTGATGGTCCTTGGGGTCCCTTCCAGCTGAGGATATTCCACGCAACTATGAATAAATCCAGTGCCTAACTGTTTTATACACCACTCCCCCACTGTTTTCATAAAGAACTCTGGGAATTGTGTCTGTAGAATCTCTGTCACATTCTAGCTGCACTGAAATCCTTAACTGCTCCATATCACCCTTTTTCCCCAGGAAAATGCATCTCCATCTCCCCCAGCTCTGTGTGTTCACCTGGAGCTTTGGTGCCCCTTTGGTGAGGGAAGATTTCAGTGCTTGAGCAGAGCCCAAATCATCCTTTATTCCCTTTCTATAAGGGGATATTCTTTATTCTAGTGAATATTTATTAATTAAATCTCTTTTTTTTGTTTTGCTTTTTGTTTGTTTTGGGATTTTTTGGCTTTTTGTTTTGTTTTTTCCTTTGGTGGGGGGTGGGTAACTTTATCAGAATTTGGACATTTGCTGTGTTTAGGGGGAAATGCAAAGATTCCCCCCAGAGTAAAGGGACACAAATCTACCCCCAGCTCCAGAAAGGACTAAAAATGTCACTGAGAAACTCTGGAACAATTTCAGGTTTGTTGAAAACCTTCCTGAGCCACATCTGGGCAGGTGGCAGCAGCAGTGACACCCCTCCCATCCTCCCTCTGCTGACAGAGTTCATTTAAATGCAATTTAAATCCATTTCAATTGATATAAAAGGGATTTTCAATTCCCCTGCTGTCTCCTCTTTAAATCTCCTCAGAAATGAGCTTTGCTGATGGGAAACTTTCAGTGTGCAAAGAAGCTCTGCCCAGAACTTCCTCTCCCCAGCACGAGGAGCCTCTTCCTTCCTCAGGCTTTGGGGAAAAACCCTCTGGGGAGGCTGCAACCCCCCAGGAAACCAAAAAAGCTGATTTCAAGGGGGACTAGAGCCATCTGGAGGGGTGGGATACAGGGAATGATCCAAATTATCCACTCGCCCTGCACCAGGAAAGGAGGGCTGTGATGGTGCAAAGCAAGGAATCAGCTTTTCTTCACAACCTGATAAAACCCCAGTGAGTTGAGAACAGCACTGCGGTGGGACTGGGATCAATAATTCAGTAAATATGAAGTGATTAAACACAAACCCCATTAAACACAGCACTGAGAGCTCTGAGAGAACAATAACCTGAGCAGGAAAGGAAACTGTGGTCTTGATGTAATTTTCCAGAGCAGGTCTGGATTCCATGAATTCAGAACAACACTGGGATGGGACTGGGATCAGTAATCCAGTAACTATCAAATGATTAAACATAAAATCCATTCAAACACAACACTGAGACCTCTGAGATCAGAATATCCGAGGTAGGAAAGGAAATCATGGATTTGATGACTGCTCTTTGGTGGCTGCTCCTCCCAGCCTGTGGAAATTGAGACCCAGAGGAGGAAGAATTCTCCATGAACAGTGGAGAGAGAACCCCCAAACCCTGCGAACCCCGAGGAGAGGGGGAAAGGGCATTTTCCTGGAGAAAATCCGGACCACAAAAAGCAGCTCCCTCCAAAGGCAGCCACTGCTGCTCCCACAGGTGTGGGAAAGAGCATTCCAATTGGAATTTCAAGGCAGAACAACAACCCCACCTTTGAGGAACAGGGGAGTAGAACCAAGGCTGGGATGTGGCGCACGAAGAGCCAAAGATTAACAGGCAACAGCCTAAACCCAAAACAGATCTTAAAAAAGGAGCCAGACTCAGCCTTTGTGGGATCAGCCCTAAAAGAGTCAATCCCAATCCCATTAAAAACCAGGCTTCCAAAACTTTTTCCCTAAAGGAGCCAGTCCCAATCCCATTAAATCCCAAATCCCCAAAGCCTTTTTCCTAAAGGAGCCAATCCCAATCCCACTAAAACCCAATCTCCCAAGGCCTTTTCCCCTGGTGTTTGTCCAGCACCAGCACTCAGGAATTTGCCCAGAGAGGATTTCTCTCCTTATCCCAGGATTTTCCGAGGTCCAGCACAGCCACATTTTCCTGCCTTTCTCTCTCCATGGGCTCCTGCTCCAGCTCTCCGGCAGGATCCCTAATTAATTGGGAAGCAGCCATTGCCAGCTAATTGCCCAGCTGGATTTTCCAAGCAGAACCTGGATCAAACCCCCCAAACAAAACAACAAAGAAACAAAACTTCCACAACCCTGCAAACACAAAGCGATGGAAAGAAAAGGAACACCAAGGGAAAACAACTTTTCATGAGCTGGCTGCCTCCTGTTTGTTCCCAGGAATCAGAGTCATCCTCCCTGCTGGCAGCAGGGGTGTCTTGGTGCCATGGACAAAAACTCAAAAAACACAACCAAAAAAAGCCCTCAACCCCCCCCCCCCACCCAAGCAAACAAAAACCCCCAAACAAACAAAAAGCCAAACAAAAACACAAACAAAACCCCCAAGGAAACAAGAATCCAAACCAACAAACAAAAACCCCAACAAAATCCAAAATAAACAAACAAACTCCCAAACAAAAACAATCAAAGAAAACCAAAAACAACCAACCAAAAAAAGTCCCAAACGTACAAAAAACCAAAACAAACACTAACCCAACCCAAAACCCCCCATGAAACAGCAAAACAAACAAACCCTGAAAGAGGAAGGAAACCCCTGAGGTCACACTTGCATCAAGTTCCTCAATTCCCATCAAAAACTGGAAGTGGGAACACGTTTGACAGGGATGGATGGATGGATGGATGGATGGATGGATGGATGGATGGATGGATGGATGGTTGGATGGATGGATGATAGATGATGGATGGATGACGGATGGAAGGATGGATGATGGATGGATGGATGGATGGATGATGGATGGATGGATGGATGATGGATGGATGGATGGATGGATGGATGGATGGATGGATGGATGGATGATGGATGGATGGATGATGGATGGATGGATGGATGGATGGATGGATGGATGGATGATGGATGGATGGATGGATGGATGGATGGATGGATGGATGGATGATGGATGGATGATGGATGGATGGATGGATGGATGGATGGATGGATGGATGGATGGATGATGGATGGATGGATGGATGGATGGATGGATGGATGGATGGATGGATGGATGATGGATGATGGATGGATGATGGATGGATGATGGATGGATGGATGATGGATGGATGGAAGGATGGATGGAGGGATGGAAGGATGGATGCTGCCCGTATCCTTGTGCTGATCCCAGCCCTGGGTCTGGAGCTTGCTGGGTTATTCCCTGCTGGGTCATTCCCTGCTGGATCATTTCCTGCTGGTTTATTTCCTGGGAAAGCTCTGTAGAAGTGGTTTGCACCTTGCACTGGGGGCTGAGCTGAGCATCCACGGGAATATTTGGGAATCTTGCTCCATGGGAAATGTGAGCAGCATTGCACTGCCCCTTGCTTGGGTTCCTATCAGCAGGACTCACCTAAATTCCCATTTTTTGCTCACTGATACCCTTCCCCTTGGAACTGGGTGATTAAAATCCCTTCAACTCTGGACATTCCACGATTCTGCTGGATGAACCAAACCTTTGAGCACTGCTGTCAAACAGCCCTGGGAATCCCAGTGCTGCCTCTTTCCTTGGAAAAACGTGAAGCCAGCTTTTATTACTTCACCAGGCAGTGCCTATTCCTGGTGTGGTGCTTTTCCCTATTTCTGACTCCTGCCCTGGGGACAGGAGGGTTTGGAATGTGCAGGAACCCATACTCAGCCTCCTTTTCCTCCACATACAGGGAATTTTCAGCTCTGGAGAATCAGGGAATAGCAATTCCTGGATGCCAGGGGTTGTGTTTTCTCTCCATGGGCATGGACAGGGCAGGGAGGGGGCCTGGGTTCTTTCTTTTGCTCCCAGGGTTCTCTCAGCTTGTGGATTTAATGGAAAAAAATAACTCAAGAAACGAAAATCCTCCTGCACTTTTTTCCAAACAGCTCTGGCAGAACATCCTACTTGGGCAATATCTGAGGGATTTGGGTTTTTTAGATGGCAGCTCGTGAGGCAGCTCCGGGTCTTTGCAAGGATCTGAGCTGCTTCCTTCTGGAGGAATTAAATCCTTCAGGAACTGTGAGCTACGGGATAGCCTGTCTGCCTCTTCCAGCCACCAGTGCTCTGGAAAAATACACCAGGAGCTGGGAAAATCTGGGAATGGGAGTCATGGGGGAGGGAGAGGTGGTGTGGGTCTGTCCATTTGAGAGGCAGGAGAGCCACAGGAGTGGCTCCATGGGAATGGTCCCATGGGAATGACTCCATGGGAATGGCTCCATGGAAATGGCTCCATGGGAATGGCTCTATGGGAATGGTTCTATGGGAATGGTTCCACAGGAATGGCTCCAAGAGAATAGCTCCATGGAAATGGTCCCATGGGAATGGCTCCATAGGAATGGCTCCATGGGAATGGTTCCTTGGGAATGGTTCCTTGGCAACGGCTCCGTGGGAATGGTCCCATGGGAATGGTTCCACAGGAATGGCTCCAAGGCAATGGTTCCATGGGAATGGCTCCATGGCAATGGTTCCAGAGGAATGGCTCCATGGGAATGGCTCCATGGGAATGGCTCCATGGCAATGGTTCCAGAGGAATGGCTCCATAGGAATGGCTCCATGGGAATGGCTCCATGGCAATGGTTCCAGAGGAATGGTTCCACAGGAATGGCTCCAAGGCAATGGTTCCATGGGAATGGCTCCATGGCAATGGTTCCAGAGGAATGGCTCCATGGGAATGGCTCCATGGGAATGGCTCCATGGCAATGGTTCCAGAGGAATGGCTCCATGGGAATGGCTCCATGGCAATGGTTCCAGAGGAATGGCTCCATGGGAATGGCTTTATGGGAATGGCTCCATGGCAATGGTTCCAGAGGAATAGCTCCATGGCAATGGGTCTATGGCATGGGTGTTGGTGTGTTGGTGGCAATGTTCCACAGCCCACACATCCATGAGATCAGTGTGGGGTGGGAGCTGTCCCCTCTGTCCATTGAGGAGTTCTGGCACACTTCAGTGTTTCCCTGGAAATGCCCAGAATGTGAAGGAGATCAGGAGTATGTGTGAGGCTGGAATGATCCACAGCTGGGGAAAAGGGAGAGGAAGGGAAACCAGGATTGCCAGGGGAACCCACAGGAGATTCCAGGGGAGCTGAAGGACTCTGCAGGTGCTGCAGAGTTTGGGCTGATCCTCTGAAATAAAAACTTCTCTGGGCTCCACACTGATCTCCAACACAGCCTCGGCCTAAAGCAAACCCCAAAGAGAGCCTAAATTCCTTCCTGAGCTTTTGACCCAGAATTTCAAAATCCTTAATGGAAAAGGCAGAGAAAGCAGTGCAATTCTGAGGCATCCTTCTCTGCCCCACAGCTGCTTCCCAGCATTCCCAGGACCCACCAATTCTGTAGTAATTGTTGTCCAGGTCTTTGCAGAAGCCCTTCCCGTTGGCCACCTCCAGGGAATACTCGATCAGCAGCAGGATGCTCATGACCTGGAGAACAAACCAAAAAACACAATTCAGGGGCCTTGGGCCCAATTCCCAGCAGTGAATTTATTTCCAGGGAACGCTGGATAGATGCATCTCCAAGTGAGCCAAACACAAAGGGTTTAAATCCCAGGAAATTCTGAGACAACAGTTATCAGTTTATTAATATTTTGGATATAACTGCCAGCAGAAGGAAGATGGAGAAATGACAAAGGCAGCGAGTTTTGTTTCAATAGTTTTTATCCTGGTTTCATGTTTTGAAGCTGCCTTTTACTCCAGAGTTGAGGAAAATGCAATACCAGTATTCCAAAGAGTAAAAAGAAACACAAAAAATATGAAAGATCTTCCTGTAAGTGCAGCTGTGCCACTCCACTGACAAAACCATCATTTTCCTTCCTTTATTATTTGAGGAAAATCTCAAAATGTTCTTTTTTCACATTGAACTGGAATGATTTTCCCCAAGTTTTCCAAGTGGACCATCAAACCCCTGCCTCCAGGGCTCATTCTGTCTGGAGTTTAATGAGCTGGGAGATGAAGGGAGGTCCAGAGCTGTGGGCTCAGTCCTGGCCCTGAACTTTTGCACTCACCCAGGGATGTCTGCACCCAGCTTAGGAGATCGCCATGGAATCAGGGAATCCCAGAAGGGATGGAACATGCTGGGTCATTCCCTGTTGGGTCATTCCCTGCTGCCGTCCTGGGAAAGCTCTGCACAAAGGGGTTTGCACCCTGCACTGGGGGCTGAGTTGAGCAGAGCAGCCTCCAACCCATCCACAGGAACTATTTGGGAATATTGCTCCATGGGAAATGTGGGAACCATTGCCCACATTTGGAAGGGATTTGCCCATGGGTAGGAAGGGATTGGAAAGCTCATCCCATCCCACTCCTGCCATGTGCAGGGACACCTCCCATTGTCCCAGGCTGCTCCAAGCCCAAAGTCCAACCTGGCCTTGGGCACTGCCAGGGATTCAGGGGCAGCCACAGGTGCTCTGTCGATCCCTGAGGGTGTCCCTGTCCATCCCTGAGTGTCCCTGGCTGTCCCTCTCTGTCCCTGTCTGTCCCTGTCCATCCCTGAGGGTGTCCCTGTCCATCCCTGAGTGTCCCTGGCTGTCCCTCTGTGTCCCTGTCTGTCCCTGTCCGTCCCTGTGTGCAGGAGGGCAGAGCAGGGCCAGGCTCTGCTCCAGGCCCAGCGATGGCCCCAGAGCCCTGGGCAGGGGCTGAGCCCAGGAGCTGCCCTGGGCAGTGCCAGCCCTGAGCAGAGCCCAGAGAGGGGCTGGAATCTCCTCCCTGGGACATTCCAGAGCCACAAGGACACCCTGCTGTGCCCTGAGCTCTGGGATGGCCCTGCGGGAGCAGGGAGTGGCACCAGTGTCCCCGGGGTCCCTCCAGCTGCCCCTCTCCATGACCCCGAGCCCTCTGGCCCTGCAGGGATGCAGAAGCCAAGCCCTATCTGCCACCCACATCAGCACCTGCTCAGGCAGAGCTGAAGCAACTTTTCCACCAGAGCTGCACCAACCTTTCACTTCAACCACAGCCCGAGCAGCACCGCGGGCGAGGAGGAAGTGGCACTGCTGTGGTCTGGGCTGGCGTTTGCAAACTGGGGCTGCTGGAACAGCAGAGAGCCAGCTGCTGCACGGGCTGGGGCTGGGCAGAGGGTGGGTCTGGGTTTTCAGAGGGATCCAGACACACTTTGGGCAGCGGGGATGCCCAGCCGGGGGAGCTGTGCTGCCCTTGCAAAGGAGCTATGGGAAGGATGGCTCTGCCTTGCCCCAGAAAGGGGGAAGTGAGGCTGGGAGGTGACAGGAGCTGAGCACAGCCCCTCCCTCTGCCTCTGTGTCAGCAGCAGAAGACCTAGAAATAATTTCAAACCAAATTCATCAACTTTCTGAGCCCCCAGCTGCAGCGTTCACAACTGTGGTGCTCCCAGAGCGAGCACCCACCCAGCCACGCTGGGCTGTGAGGGGGCTGCGAGCCCCTGCCCACCCTGTCCCTCTGGATTTAAAATTCTGTCCGGAGTCTGAGAGAGAAGGAAGGATGTGTCAGGTTTTCCCTGGGCCTGTCTGATACCAGCTTGTTCAAGAGTCACTCTGCTGCCTTTCCTTTTTTTTCAATTAAGTAAATGAACTTTGCAATTTGCTCATGAGCTGGCAAGAAAAAGAGGAATATCCAGATCTCATTACACGAGGACACGACAAAGTTAACACGAGTTCAGCTTAATGGAACAGTATTTCAGCTCCCAGGGCAGCTCTGAACCCTGTCAAGGATGAAATTGCATCGATCCAAAGTGTCTTTACAGCTGCTGACACCCCTTGGCAGGAGAGGGATCTCTTAATGAAGACACATGGAGATCACACCTGACTGCAAGGTGGCTGAGAGGTTTCATGTTCAGGCTCCCAAACACTTTTTGCTTCCTTTATTTCTGCTGTTGGTCCAACCCCTCAATTGCCAGCTTGGGAAATATGGGCAGAAATTGCTTTTTCAGGTTCCACTTAAAAGGAGGCCTGAGCAAAATGGATAAGCTGGGCCCTAAATATCAGTTTTATTCTGAAAGAGGAGTGGGTGAGAGCAGGACAGCAAACCCCAAACTCCCCCATCCCATCCAGCAGATCCAGAGGCTGAAGTTGAGCGTGAGGAACCCTCTCTGATGTCTGCAGAGAAAAACGAGGCCCTGGTTTCCTTGCTGGTGAGGAAATGAGCCACACAACCCAGACCAAGTGCAGTCACACAAGATAAGGACATGGCAGGAAACCCCAGCCCAGCCTCAGAGACTCAGGAGACTTTTAAGGCAAAAGTTGGTTTAAAGTTTTCCATCTTGTGTAGAAAGAAAGAAGCACTGAGCTGTGAGCAGCCAGCAGAGACCTCCAGGTCTTTCCCTTGGCATGGAGAGCCAGGCCAGCACAGGACACCTCTCCAGCAGCTGGCTTTGGCACGCTGGGATGTGGAGCCTTCCTTATTCCTGCAGGGAATGCACATCCAAGCGGACAAACCCTCTGCAGAGGGGCCTTTTGGGAGGAAGACAGAGGAGGATGGATGTGGTGCCTGCCCTGCACTCCTTGCTCAGCTACTCCCTCTGCAGATCCACCCTCAGCTCCCGCAGAAACCAAAAACTTCTCATTTCACACAGAAAAATACCCAGTTCCCTTTCCCATTGCAAAGGGAAATGCAGGTTTAAAGCAGAGGATTTCACTTCCAGGTACTCAACTCCCTCCCTGATCTCTGATCCCTGATCTCCTGGAGCTGGAACTTCTGGAGCAGTCACCATCTTCTTGCCGCCTATCTGCAAAAGAAGCTTCACAGTTCTTGGTAGAAGAAATCTGAATCTCCAGAAATGCATGGCTGGAGCTGGGCCAGGGCAGGGCAGGCTGGAGCTCAGGGAAAGGTTTTTCCCCCAGAGGTGCTGGCACTGCCCAGGCTGCCCAGGGAATGGGCACGGCCCCGAGGCTGCCAGAGCCCCAGGGATGCCCGGGGTGGGGCTGGGAGGGGTCTGGGCAGAGACAGGAGCTGGACTTGAGGATCCTTGTGGGTCCCTTCCAGCTCAAGACATTCCAGGATTCCATGATACGGAATATTATGAAATAATGTAGGACTGAGATAAATCCAGTCATTAAATCAAGGGAGATAAATTAGGGTGACTTGAAGGCAGAATCTGACACACAGAGCCCCCATTCCCTGGGGACAATCCTGCTGTGGCTGCAGAGGGGTTAAACTGCTCTTAGAGGCCATGTTGTGCCTTTTTTTTTCCCTGAAATATTTGCAGCTTGACTGATTTCCAGGTGATTTATCTTTTTGCAGTGGCCCTGGTGTGAGGGTGTTCCTCTTCTGTTTCACAGCAGGAGTGTCTGCAAGGGGAGCTTGAAACCATGGGGAACAAGGGCCACTGGGGACAGGAACAGGGACAGGGACAGGGGACAGGGACAGGGATGGGGACAGGGACAGGGACAGGGACAGGGATGGGGACAGGGATGAGGACAGCGTGCTCTGGGTGCTGGGCACAAAAAATACTGCCCAAAACCACTGCCCTGTCAGAGCTTCTCCTTTTCTTTCTTGAGTTTCCAAGTGGCTCTTGTGGCAGACGGGGATGAAGTGAGGAGTGCTTTGAGTTCTCATTTGGTTTCCTTTCACAACATTTCATCTTCTCCTGCTGCCTCCTTGGTTGAGCTGTTCCAGGAGAAGCAGCTCAGGCTCTGTGGGACCCCTGGGTCAGCCCCAGCCTGGTGAGAGCTCAGTGAATGCCACTCTGAACTCACCTGAGTTGTGTCCAGAGGTGAGGACAGGACCTGGGAGGGTTCCAGAGGGGAATTTCTGCTCTGTGAGTTACAGAGCTGCCAAAGAGAGGAGCTGGAGTGCAGCTGAGGCCAGACAAGTCTTTCCAAGGCTCCTCTGGCTCCAATTAAGGAGCAGCAGGAAGGGAGCTGCACCTGCACTGGAGCAGGTTTCCAGCCCTGGTCTTAAATCTCTCTGTCAAACACCTTGAGGCCTGAAGAGCAGGACAAACTCCCCAGTGCTGTCTTTGAAAGTCACCTGCAGGTCACCTCCCCACAGCCAATGGAACTTTGCTGATCACACATCCCTGTCCTCTCCTCACTGCCCCCTCCTCCCTGTCTGCTCCAGAACACCCAGGATTTATTCCAGTTGTCTCTGAAGGGATCAGCAGCGAGGCAGAGCTGATTTGTGGGAGGAGAAGACCTTGCCACAGAGCCTGAGAGCTCCTTGGTGGCACTGCTCTCACCCAGCATGGCTGGGATTCATCCCTGGCACCTGCAGCAGGAATTTATCCTGATTCAAAGCCCCAGCACTGATGGAGCAAATCAGTGAAGGTATAAATCCCCTTTTCCCTTCTCCTCCCCCTGCCCAGCTGCAGCTGAACCATCAAAAAGGGAGAGAAGAGGCAGGGGAAAAAATGATTGGTATTGTGTGATAGCTCTTAAAGTAAGACAATTTATCCAAAAATTACCCTGGTTTCCAAGGCCAAGAGGGATGGTACAGTTCCTGCTGCTCCAGGGAAGAGGGGGGACCTTGGAATGTCCTTCCTGTGCCACAGCTGCCATTCCCATGGGATTTCTGCAGGCTGCAGGTCCCCAGATCCCCCTCTGCTGTCCAAGGAGTGGTGAGAGCCCTGTTATCACCCTGAGGGTTCCCAGCACTGACAGTGCACACCCAGAGCAGTGGTGGTCCTTCCCATGCCACAGCAGCTGATCCCATGGGATTTTTGTAAGCTCCAGGTCCCCAGCTCCTGCTCTGCTGTCCCAGGGACCTGTGAGAGCCCCGTTACCTCCCCAAGGGCTCCCAAATGCTGACTGTGCACACCCAAAGCAGCACAGGGATTATTTTAATAGCGCAGCCATGCAAGAAACCACATCCTCAGGGTCGCTGAAAGCACCTAAAGCTCCTCGGTGCAGCCAGGAGCGTGGGAGAGAGGGGCCTCCAGGCTCTCCTGCTCTGCCATCCCTGCCCTGAGCAGCTTCTAGACACGGTCATGATCCCAATGGGAACCAAAATAGACCCAGAGGAGGCAGCTCTGCCCATCACCCTCTGCTCATCCAGCTCCCAAATCCCTCCAGTCATTCCCACAGTCAGTGCTGCCCATTCCCACCTGGCAGGCTCTGGATTCTCTCAGGTAGGAGCCCTGCACTAAGCAGAAAAACAGGAAGCAGAGCGAGTTTCCCTGAGCTCCAATTGACAGAGCCAGAAAAAAATAATTAAACCCCACCCCCCCCACCTCCACCCCAGTGCAGTGAATTCCACTTCTCCCTGTCCCCCACCACCTTTTGTTCATCCCTCTTAACTCATTGGGTTTTCCTCTTAGGGACAGAGAACATTCCAGTGGCAGGGAACCCTGTGACCAAACCCACAACAATGCACCTCCTGGAGAGGTTCCACCTCTGTTTTCCTGTCTCCCTGTCCCTGCCCCCTTGCAGGACTCACCATGTGGAAGATGCCCAGGGCCACTGTCGCCGTCTTGATGTTGAAGCAACAGCATCTGGGGGGCTCAGGGGGGGTTTGGGCAGTCATTTTCAGGTCCCTCTGAGCTCTCCTGAGTTAATGAGGTTGGATTTGCAGCCACCCCACAGAAAGCGAAGTGAGAGCAGCTCGGCTTCCTTCCTGCTCTCTGAATGTGTGAAGTCATCTACAAAGTCACATGAGGCCTTTGGGTTTCTCAATAACAAAGAAAGCAAAACTGGGGAGCTTTTTGAGCACATCCAGCTGGGAAATCAGAGCCCCAGTGCTGTGTCCAGCACGGGGTGTTGGGAGAGGACCATCAGGAGCAGGACGAGGCTTTGTCCTACAGAAATCCTCAGGAACAAAACAGAGGCCAGGAATTTCACCTCAAACTCACCCTGCTGTTTTTGCAACAAAGCATCCAAATTCCTCCCTTTGGAGCTGGCGTTCCCTACCAGCAAAGGCATCGTTCCCTGGAAGTGCTGCTGGAGCAGCCCTGGGCTCTGTGAGGAGGAGGAGGAGGGCAGAGGGTGTCAATGCCTTTTTGGAGTTACCTAAAACCACAGGCCAGGCAGACTTAAGGGAATAAAAAGCAATCATATTTATTGAAGGGTCTTCAGGTACATTTTGAGCAGATGAAGCCCCCCAAGAGCTACACCCAAAAATGGACCATGGGTCACGGGTTTTCACACTTTTGTAAGTTTGGGCCATTTGCATATTGGGGGTTAATCTTCCAATTACAGCTTCAGGTAATGAAGTTATTCACCCCACATTTGCTCCCCCCAAACTCACTTTCATTTCCATCTCTCAGGGCCTGAGGCAGTGAGGTGTCCTTGATTGCCAGGGCTGGAGAGGAATTGTTGTGTCTGCCCAAAATGGGAAAGCAGCAGCTCACCCTGTACATGAAGTTTAGAGTTATACACTGAAGAACTGCAGGATTACAAATAGATGAAAAATATAAAAGCTAAAATCCTAATGCATCAGTGTTGGGCTGAGGGATCTGCAGCTCTGGTCCCAGCTCCTGGGGATGTGATTTGTGGCCTCATCTGCTGGAAATGAAACCAGCGGGATCTGAGCATGGTGGCTTTGTCACTGTGCAGGACATCGGGGTGTCCCTCTGCCTGAACTAACCAAAATGTTATCTTTGACAGAGATTTTTTATCATTCTCATTAAAAAAAATCCCATTTTAAATTTTCTTTTCCTCTTCCCCCACCCCATGGGACAGCAATTCCCTCTTTAGACCCCTGTGGAGTGGATTGTTCTGAGTTTTGGGCTTTCCAACAAAGGCTTGATATGTCCCAGCAGGGGACAACTCTCCAGGAGGGAAATGCAGGTAAATAAAATGAGAATTGGGCAAACATTCCCATGAGCTCTTGTGGGTTTCACATCCCAAAAACCCTCCCTGAATATGCTGTTTGGTGCCTCCAGCAGTGTTCCAGCACAGCATCCCCACAGTGATGCAGCAGAGGGGTTTCTTGGCCGTTTTTATGGAATTAAATGCAGAGATTTCACCTGGGTGCTTCATAAATAAATCCAGCTGCAAACATTCTTTGATGGATACTTGGTAGAGCAGGAAGGTGAAATCTTTTCACCAGCAGGGAAAGCACAAAGCTGCAGGTGAGGACTGAGGGCACCACATCCACCAGCACCCCTGGAGCTGCATCCACCCATGAGAAATAGGCTTAAAAATCAGGTTTATTTTTACAAATAGATAATTTTGAGCATCTCTCCTTTACAAACCAGATGCAAACACAGACTTGGCTTTGCCTTCCCCACATGAAATGTGTTTTCTTTAGGGGTTGCCTCCACCCCTGATAAATAGGGTTAAAAATAAGGTTTATTTTTAAAAATAGATAATTTTGAGCAACTTTCCTTTATAATAGGCTTGGCTTTGCCTTCCCCACATGAAATGTATTTTCTTTAGGGGCTGCTTCCCCTCCAAGCCAGTTTGTGGAAGGAGGTGCAGGAGGATGGAGGATTTCCTGCAGATCTGAAAAGCTGGTTTATGATCTGACCCTGCCCCTTCCCTCTGCTCTGCCCCCTGTCCCCTCAGGGGCACACAGAGCTCTCCTTGTGTGCTCGAGCATTCCAGACCCAAACTGAGCTCCGGGTGTGGAAAAACAAACACAGACAGACACAAGTCTGCTCCGTCTCTTGTCTAATTGGTGCTGCAACGAGCAAGTCATCCATGTAGTGTAAAATTCTTGACTGTGGGTGTTTTGTCGGGCTGGAGACAAAGCTTTTGCCACAAAATAGTGACAAATAGTTGGCAAATTTTTCATTCCTTGTGGCAAAACTGTCCAGTGGTAAAACCTTGCGGCAAAACCTTTGCAGCGGTTCTCCTCTGTTGGTGGCTGGAACCAAGAAGGGAAATCCAGGAGCATCCTCTGGATGCAGTGGAATGTTGAAAAAACAATCTTCTACATCGATGACAACAAGAGGCCAGTCCAAGGGAGTCATTGAAAGAGAGGGAAGTCCAGGCTGCAGAGGCCCCTTGACCTCTGTAATCTCGCTGATGTTCCTCAGGTCGGGGAGAAATCTCCAGGAATCAGAAGTCTTCTTATGACTGACAAAACTGGAAAAAGCTGGGCCCGGGATTCTCTGGAGCCTGGAGGCCACTGAGGCCTGGCAGTGCCACCCCCGTGTCCCTTCTGGGCACTCCAGGTTTTAGGAGGTTGCTCTGCTCAAAGGGACACAGCCTTGGCTGGACATGGATCTGTGGTGTTTTGTGGTGCTTTGTCTGTGACTCCTTCCTGGCAGCAATTCCAGCTGGAATTTCTCCTTGGAGAGGTCATCAGAGCCTCTCCCACCAGGAGAGGCTGGGACCAAGCCCTGTGCCCTGTCCCCAGAGCAGGGAAAATTCCCAGCCCTGTGTGAGCTGCTCCTGAAGGAAAGTTGGACTGGAGGGTGGGGCTGCCATTGGTAATAAATACAATATGGCAAATAAATACAAACATGCCAATAATAAATAAAATTTAAAAATAAAAATAAAAATAAAAATAAAATAAAATAAAATAAAATAAAATAAAATAAAATAAAATAAAATAAAATAAAATAAAATAAAATAACTACAACTATAATTATAAATATATATAATAATAGACTATGTATTATTTAATATTTTCTAAATAAATAAAATTAAAATATAAATATAAATATCTAAATAGACCAAATAAAAATATAGATAAATGTAATATAATTGTTATAATAGATATAATACATATTATATGATATAATATTATCTAAATATAGATAAATATAAACATCTGAAATAAAATACATATAAATAAATGTAAATATATGTCCTGGTTTAGGGAAAATTTGGGAAGAAACTTTTGAAGTGGTTTTCTTTAGAAAATAAATTCAAGCTGCCCCTCCTCTAACTGGTTCTCCACCCTTTGCTCTCGGAACTAGGCTTAAAGGTTAAACTCAATATCCAGCATAAACAGAACAGGCTGGGGATACAAGCATCATTAAGTCACCCTAAGACAATATAATAATGCATTTTGATATATTTATTTATTATATAATATAAAGATACATAAATATAAAAATACAAATAAATATCTATGCTTAAATAAAAAGTAAAGAACTATAAAATCTATGGGGGGAATTTGGGGGAGATTTGGGGAGGATTGGGGGGGTCATGAAGATTTGAGGGGGGGTTGGGGGGCATTTGTGGAAGTTTGGGAAGATTTGTGAAATTTTAGGAGGGCTAAGGGGGTTTAGGGGGATTTGGGGAAAACTGAGAGGGTTATGGGGGATTTGGGGGCATGGGGAGCTTTAGAGGGGACTTAAGGGGGTTTGGGGGAATTTGGGGGAATTTGTGGGTGATTGTGGGTTTAGGGGGGATTTGAGAAATTTAGAGGGGGTTTGGGTGGGGTTGGCAGAGAATTTAGGGTGACTGGGGAATTTGTAGGGGGGATTTGGGGGGAAATTTCAGGGTTTGGCAGGGACTCCGGAAATTTCCCCGCAGAACCCTTTCTGCCCATTTCAGAGGTGGTTTGGGGCATTTGCTGCTCTGTGGAAGGGACGAGAGGGGTTAGGACACAAAGCTTTGGGTCTGCGCCACCTTCACAGGTGGGCAAACAGAGCACGAGGAGATTGTAAATGCAGGGGAACCCAATGGGAAGAAATTACGGTGTCTGACTCAATTCAGAAGGCTGAATGATTTCTTTATTATAACTATGCTAAAATACATTAATATACTATATAAAAAGGAAGAGAATAAAACTACATACTACTTTCTCTAACTCTCACACAACTCGTGACCCTCTCTGAGAACCCAGCCTGAGGTGGGTTGGATTGGCCATCAGGCTCAAACAATCCTCACCAGAATCCAACCAAGCACTCACTCCAGGTAAACAATTCTCCAAACACATTCCACATAGGAAAAACAAGGAGCAGAAATAGAAATTGTTTTCTCTTTCTTTCCTCTGTGCTGCTCTATGCAAAATCCTAAGAGGGAGAGAAATGTGCTTGCCACATGAAGAAATTCCCAAGTTTGTCCCAGAGTCAGGCTGGGCTCAGCTCCTGCCCAAATCTCCTGTCCCAACTCCCAGTCCTGCTCACGCCTGGGGAAACGTTTCCTCTGTCCTTCCTGTGAGAAACACAGTTCAATATTGGAAATTTTTATAAAAGTTTATTAAGGTTAAAAGGAGTAAAATCCAGCGCTGGGGTGCTTGGCTCTTTGCAAAAGCACACCTTAACTTAAACCCTGTTCTCTATTTACTCTTACATCACAGGGGTACATGCATATTCATAAACTTTGTGCATATTCAAACATTCTTTTGAGTTTAGATGTTCTTTTGCTTCATTTTAAACTTTGACTCGTCTTCATGCCAACTTGAAGATTAAACTAATATGTTTTATTTCTTCTTGTGGTTCCATCCTGCTGTATTTTCACTCCCTGACAACAACGTTCAATATTTTTTTTTCAGTGCTGTGGTTTTTGTTTCCGTTATCTTGTCTTTTAGATAAGATAGTACCCGAATGTGGGAAATCACCTAATTATTTAACACCATTTTCTGAGTTAGTTATATGAAAAAGCATTTCAACATTTCACAGTCTCTATTATGCTATGGTCTAAAATAGTAAATACTACACTATATTTACACTATATAATACTATTGCACCACATAATAGTATATATTACACTATATTACACTACTATTTATA